TTAAATTGCAGCCCAATGATTAAAATTATTTACTAAATAAAAATAACTGTTGTCCAGATTAGATATTATTATTAATGACAAAAAATTTTAAAATATATAAACATAGCATCTTTGCTAATTTATGCAACAATCATTGTCATAACAATTGCATTCTGTTACTTGCTTTACTAGTAATATTATTTTCAAATTGAATTTGTTATGTTTTAAAATATATATAGTAGAATTACACTAATTTGAACTAATTGGGAGAAAACATAATCTGAATTAGTGAAAGTCTGAATTATCAGGATTTTTATTCAAATATGTACTGTATGGTCCAAAATAAGCTACATTTTATTTAAAGTTAAATTTTATTGTGAACTTAAAATGAACAAACACAGTGATTTGATAAACTTACAATGCAAATGTAATAGTAGCAACATTTTTGTCATTGCCAACATTTACTAACTATGCTTTAAAAAATTTAATTTTTATTTGTGATTCCTTTTCTAACTATTCTTACATGACATCTTGATGTTTTTGTATAATATAAGATAATAATTGTTAAAGCCTAGATTAGAATTAACAAATTCATTATTTTAAAAAATACACAATGCAGTCCAAATTATTGGAAATTCTGAATTAATAAAGTCCAAACTGGAAAATATTTACTATATTTACTTTATACTTCTTAATTATTTTATATACACCATTTTGCAACTAATAGATTTTATGAAATTTTAAATTACCAAAACTGTTGTAATTCAATTAAAGAATGATTGTTTTAATTAAACTAGTAATTTCTTTAACTTTTTTATTTATATAGTCTGTTAATGACAGAGTAAGAAATATAAATTAGAAATTAATCTAAAAAGATAATATAATTAAAATATAATATTATTGTTTTAACTTTCATAGATATATGTAAAGATTAGTAACATTTTATATAAAGTTTCTCTTCATCATAATCACATTAAAAAATTATTAAATATAAAACATTCTAATAATTTTTGTACAGATGTCCAAATTTTAAGTAGTTTTTAATTAGGAAATACAATTTTCAGATAATGAAAATTTTAAAGTGAAAAGATATGATTAAGAATTTAGACTATTTTACATGTATAGAATTTTAAAGACTACATAATATTAGAGATTAATAGTTCTTGGTTTTGCTACAATATAATATTTCATCAGAGTTCAATAAGTTTTGGTTGTTACAAAATTTAAAATTTAATAGTAGATTTTAAAATGGAATTAATTTATTTACAATTACTTTTACTAATTTTTCAAATAAAAATATTAAGTAAATGAGCTAGTATATTTCTTGCTGTATTTTGATTTGAGATTTAACAATACAAACAAAAAATGGTTTTAATGAATTAATCAATTATTTTATGTATTATCTTCAAATATATTACATTCTTGAAATAAACAGATATTCAAGTTTTTGTCAGCATTTTCTATTTTTAATGTAATGTGAACATATTCTCTGAAAGTTGCTATACTAAATGATATCAAAATTATGAGAATAAAGAGCTTCAGTAATTGCTGAGTTTCGTTTACTTAACTATTTATCAATTGGTCCAGTGTGAGAACTGAGAAGATTTGTTATCCCAAGGAAGGTAAATCTTTTCAGGCATGCATCTCAAAATAAGCACTTTTAAAACTTATAATTTTTAAATATTGTAACTCGTCCGAGACTGCATTTCTTAACTAAATACACTCAAACAAACCTTTACATATGCAGCCGTAATTTAATAAATAAATTCAAACGTACAGAAAATAAATTCAAACGTACGTCAGAAAGCCTACGTACAACCCGATATTTATCCCATGGAATTCACACGACCCGCCTAAGTATAAGCTAGCAGCATTCCGGGCGCTCATCGCGCGAGCTTATTCGCACTGCAGCAGTACCCAGGACAGAAACGAAGAGCTCGGTTATATCAATAAATTAGCTNATTTACATGTTAAACTAAGGATGCATCTAGAGGACAAGCGACTAACCAAGCCAATGACATTCCTTTATGATAATACAGGGTTAAATAATTTGGCATTAATTATTCAACGTCAGATGAGGTTACCAATTCAAATCAAATAAAAACCGATTCTTTTGAAGAACTTTTATACTTTTTCGTTCTAACGTATTGCCTAATGTCTTCAATTTTATGTCATTGTTGTCTTTCTCTTTACGTATATTTATTAATTTTGCGAATCAATAGCAATTGTCCTTCGGGACTTTCCAAGCCACTTGTAAACATTCTTCGTCTCTCATTTTGTCGCCCGGATGTCCTTCGTCCAGTCGGTCTCCTGTTGATGTCGTATACAGTCGACCCCCCTATAACACTGTTTGATAATTCCGTTTTATATGAATTTCATGTTGTAAGAGTCACTTAGATTTAACAAATATGTGACCTGTTCACAGCCCGGCACACGTATTTGTAAAATCTAGGTGACTCGTACAACATGGAATTCATATAAAACGAAATTATCAACAGTGTTATATGTTATAGGGGGTCGACTGTATTTTTCCTTTTATCTGACATTCTAGATCATGGCTTCTTAAACTATGGGTCGCGACCCCATTTGGGGTCGCTTAGCGAAATCTTGGGGTCGCGAGATTTTAATGCAAAATATTGAAAATAATTTGTGAGTTTGAAAATGGCGCGCTTTGTATCATAGGTTTTGTGATTTGTATATATCTTCAATATATATGTATATTTTCCTTTCCTTCTTTGTTCTTGTTCTCTTTGTTTTTAACTTCCTAGAAACTTCTTTCAAGTGTGGGTGGTGAGTAAATGTGTTAGAAGACAAAAGAAAAGGGGTAGCCCGGAGGGCAAAAGATAAGACATTTCACACCACTTTTGGCTGGGACGTCAGAGANAAAACTATAAAATTCAAATAACCATGTTTGAAGAAATGGAATTTATTTTATTTAAAATAAATTTTTTTAAAACTGTATCAGTAAATAATAATTAAACAATCTGATAATAAAAACCAAATAATATAAAATGAAGTAAGATCATATAGTTTTACTTTGTCAGAATAACTGCTTGAAGTATTTCATTTTGAAAAGTTATAATACTGGAATAATATAATTATTTTTTATTATTGTGAATATTATTCAGTGAAAACTAACTAAAATTGTATGATGTAATGTGCCAAGAGAATTTTTTTTATATGTGGCTTTAGACATAAGTATTAGATTCTTCTCTCCTATTTAGACATGAACTGCAAATAGAATTGATTCACATAAAAAAGTCTCCAAAAGCTGGAACATACACAAATTAAAACTAAACACCTTACACAGTCTTCCAGCAACTAATATGTATTGGAATCAATGTAAGCATTGTGAGACAATATCTGTCACATGGCAGTCATTGATTGATAACCCTCTAAAGAGAAGCAAATGAGTGATATTATAACAGGAGGATACTATATATATGTTATTGCAGTATACATAGATTAAAAGTTTAATTTTTTATTGTAAAAATGTAATTATACAGTATATGTAAAATGTAACACAAACTTGTTAAAGAATTCAAACCAGATGATACATAAAAACATACTTATAAAAAATACTCTAAATTTAGAATCTCTGCTAATGTTCTGTAATGATCAATGCTTGATGCAGATCTCTGAAAAAGGCTGAAAATCTTCCAGTTTTACTTGATTCCAATACATATTAGTTGCTTAAAGACTATTTATATGGTGTTTAATTTTAATGTAATTGATTCATGAATTGATTCCTCATGATAGAAGAATAATTTTTGACATATGTTGATTAATAATAGTTAATATAATAGTTAATAGCCTTAAGGCAATAATTAAGTTATCGAAAAAACAGACTATAAGTACAGTAGACTCACGTTCTGCATTGTAGGAAATCGCATTACAGGGGACATACATTAGCAGACCAATTTATACAAGTTCAAACATGTCTCTAAATTTTAAATGTTATTGCAAAGACTTCCCGAACATTTTTCCAAAATTATAGAGGAAGGCAATTATATAGCAGAACAAGTCTATAATTTTTATGAATTTGCTTTGTATTAGAAAAAAATGCCCAACAGAACATATATTGTGAAAGATGAGACTTCTGCTTCTGAGTTCAAGGCATCAAAAGATAGGATAACTTTACTTTTGTGTTCTAATGCAGCTTGAGAACATATAACTAAGCCAATGTTAATTAATCGTACATTAAATCCATGTGTAATGAAAAATGTAGACAAATCAACGCTTCCTGTTCAATGGAGAGCTAATAAAAAAGCATGGATTACATGCAAAATATTTAAAAATTGGTTTTATAACTGTTTTGTACTGGAGGTTGAAGATTATTTACAATGAAAAAAATTCTTTTTTAAACTGTTGGCTTCACTGTTCATATATAAACAACTGGTAAGTGTATATTTTCGCTTTTCAAAACAAAAAATCTGAAACTATGTGAAAACATTAAATTTATCTTACACATTATATGAGACTGTTTATCACGCTGTATGAGTTCTAGTTGCAAAATTTTTGTTGCCTCATACAAATTTGTGTTATAGGGGAGCATGTTATAATGGAGTTCACTGTAATATAAAATAGCAGTCAAAATATATTTTGAATTTTTGGTTTGATTATAATTAATTTCACTAAATTATCAATTAATGTTGCTGTTAATAACTATTGGCTGTCAATGGTCATTTTATTTTAGTTCTTTTAGAAATTCTTTCAGAGGAACAATACAAACATAATGGACCACTAACAAAGTCATCACAGTGTTGCAAACTGGAAATCTTTATGTTTCCATTAGCTTAGCTACATATGTTAATCAAAATTAATGAGTTTCTTTCAATTTTTTGAAAGAAATATTACTAAATTTCAAAGAATAAAATATAATACTGACACAATTATCAAAATATTAGATAAATTACATAATATAAGAAAATAAATTGTATTTTCTTAATGAAATGCAAAATGATTTAAAATTTGTAAATAAAAATTCAAGTGAATATAAATATATATTAAAGAATACATACTTGCATGTTATCTACTTTTACTTGAATTCTTTTACTTATTTTAAAAGGGACTAGAATCTCAGTTGAACCACCAGAAGTTGTATTAATTCGAGGACAAAAGCCGGGTCCAGATCGTATACTTGGGCCAATACTCTGTATATAAAATTGAAATAATTATAACTTAATGTAACTAAATTAACAATAAAATGTAATACATAAGAATTAGTCTGCTAGAAAGTTGAATTATAACAATTAATTTTAATTATTTTTACCAATTTCTTATCTAAATTGTGTGATATCATAAAATTGATTATCTACTAAAACTATAAATATTATTCTAAAAATTATCACAAATAAAAAGTCACGATTAACTTGCAGTCTGTGAAGTCCTAATTTGCAGCAGTCTCTAGCAATACAAATTTTATTTCCTGTTTTCTGCCTGCAGCTATTATGCAACCCTAATTAAGTTTACACATTCATAATGAATAACATTCAAATTACACTAGACCATGGCTTCTTAAACTATGGGTCGCTTAGCGAAATCTTGGGGTCGCGAGATTTTAATGCAAAATATTGAAAATAATTTGTGAGTTTGAAAATGGCGCGCTTTGTATCATAGGTTTTGTGATTTGTATATATCTTCAATATATATGTATATTTTCCTTTCCTTCTTTGTTCTTGTTCTCTTTGTTTTTAACTTCCTAGAAACTTCTTTCAAGTGTGGGTGGTGAGTAAATGTGTTAGAAGACAAAAGAAAAGGGGTAGCCCGGAGGGCAAAAGATAAGACATTTCACACCACTTTTGGCTGGGACGTCAGAGAGTGAAGACGTGTGGTGGAGTTGTCCTGGTCGTTTTGGCATCGTCAACTATCTTGGGTACCCATTCTTGACTAGTACTAGATATCTATCTGTCCTATTTGTCTATTCTTTCCTTATTTCCTTTTTAGTATAAGTAGTCATTAATTTAGTTTCTAGCTATAGTTTTATTTGTGTCGCCGATAAATTTGTTTGGTTAGTCCTCTATCGCGAGATTTTAAACTAATGGTTCTTCCTTTTGTATCTGTTGCTTTGTTAGTACTTAAGTACTAACGAGGGGTGTCGGAATCTGTTAGAATCCTGTAAAGTGAATAACCACGGGTGAAAATAAAGGTAGCATTTTATTTGTAATTTTGCCTATATCTTTGTTATATCACACTCACCACGTGCTTATCACTACAGATCATCGCTAGAATAATATAGTTTTTTTATTTATTCGGTAATTAATTTATTAATTATTATATGGAATATGTTATTTTTATGTATTTATAGGTATTTTTCGGATTAAAATCATTTTTGGCCATGGATAATTGGCTGAACTTAAGTAAGAAAGATAATGATGCAGAAGACAGTGCTACAAAGTCTCCTCAAGCAGGACTTATTATTCACAAACAGTCATCTAATCTACGAAAAAGAAAATATAATGAGTCTTTTCTTCAATTTGGCTTTACATTTAAAAATCATAATGGTAATGAACAACCTTTTTGTTTGATCTGCAATGAATTATTAGCTACAGAGAGTATGAAACCATCAAAATTGAAAAGACATCTTGAATCAAAGCATACTTCGTATGCCAATAAACCAAAAGAATATTTTGAAAGATTGTTAAAATCTTTAAATAAAGATATAAAATCTTTTGAAGAATTTACGACCATTAATGAAAAATATTTACTCGCGTCATATGAAGTTTCATACTGTATTGCTAAAAATAAAAAGCCTTTCACCATTGGAGAAGATCTTGTATTACCTGCTGCCATTAAAATGGTAGAAATACTACATGGAAGTAAATATAGCAATGATATTCGAAAAATTCCTTTGTCAAACGACACTGTCGCGAATAGAATTTCTGAAATAAGCAATGATCAATTAGTGCAACTTATTACAAGAATTAAAGAAAGCCCAAAATTTTCAATTCAGTTGGACGAAACAACTGATATTACCAAATTAGCTCAGTTGTTAGTATATGTCAGATACGTTTATAAAGAAAACATCGAGGAAGAATTGTTATTTTGTCGTCCTTTGAAAGACCGTACTAGAGGGAAAGACATATATTGTAAAGTTGACGAATTTTTAAAAACTGAAGGGTTAGAATGGAAAAATTGCTGTGGAGTATGCACAGATGGCGCTAAAGCAATGACGGGCCAAAATAATAGTTTTAAATCATTTTTTAAAGCTGCTCATTATGATCATATAACTTTTACTCACTGTCTTATTCATCAGGAGGCCCTCACAGCAAAAAAATTAGCACCAGAATTGAACGATGTGCTTCAAGATGCTGTTAAGATTATAAATTTTATTAAAAGCCATGCCCTTAACAGCCGCTTATTTTCAAATCTCTGTAAAGATGCGGATTCCCACTACACAAATTTATTACTACATGCAGAAGTAAGATGGATATCAAGAGGTCAAAGTTTAAGAAGATTATTGTTATTAAAGGACGAAATCGAAATATTTTTAACCGAACAAAAATGTGATCTCGCTACTTATTTTCAAAATGACCTATGGCTATCAAAGTTGTGTTATCTGTCAGATATTTTTGAGAAAGTAAACGATCTTAACTTGTCTCTTCAAGGAAAAAATTGCAATATATTTACTTCGAATGATAAAATTGAAAGTTTTATTAAAAAGATCAAAATTTGGCAAAGTAGGGTAGAAAAAAATTCTTTCGAAATGTTTTCAAGTATCGACAATTTTATATCCGAGAAAAATCATTGTAAAACTTTTATCGCAAAAATTATTATAGGTCACTTAAAAGCGCTAGAAACACAGTTTCGTAAATATTTTAAATCAAATATTGATTTTAAAAGTTTATCTTGGATTCAAAAACCATTTTTGATTGGTTTGGATGAGATTGATCACCTGCCATATAAAGCTCAAGAAGAATTTGCCGAGCTTTCGAGTGACTCAAACTTAAAAGTAGATTTTTCAAAAAAGCCGTTAACTGAATTCTGGATAAGAACTAGAACCGAATTTCCCACAATCTCTAATATGGCGTTAAATGTTCTTCTACCATTCAACACCACATATTTATGTGAAATTACTTTTTCAGCTTTAACACATATCAAATCCCAATATCGTTCATCGCTAAATAATGTTGAAGAGATTTTACGTCCAGCTGTGTCAAACATTGCACCAAGATTTAGTTTGTTATGCAGTAAAAAGCAAGCACATCCGTCTCATTAAAAAACAATTTCCCTTTAATTTTTGTATACTTAAACCATTTAACGGCTGCGCTATATATGCTGGTATATTTTGCCCAATATTCTCTTCTATTTATGTTATTGCAAAAAATGCAATTTTGATGAAAAATAGGGTATGTAATTTTTGTAACTATAATAAATACAATTTTACAACTTTTCGTGCAATTTTTAATTTTATATTTTCGTATGTTTTTAAACAAATTCTAAAACTACATTTTTTCATATGTATATATATTGTTACCTAATCAATAAATCATCAGAAAATATTTATATATCTGGGTTGTTCATGTTATCATGTATGCTGTTTATATATCTTTATATTATATTTTTTTGGGGGTCGCGAAAAAAATCACAATCGTAAATGGGGTCGTGAATAAAAAAAGTTTAAGAAGCCCTGTTCTAGATGATATTTTCGGTGTATTCTTGAATTTATGGCTTGTTTCGCTAGGGTGTTATCAAATAATTTAAACAGTTATAATGTAGTTGTACGCTTTATACAGGTGGATAAACGAAACTATTACATCTCAATTCCATCCTACCAAAAAGCTTTCTTACTTCCTTCATTCTACTTTAACACTTTTTTATATTTGTAAGTGTCTACTTATCTTTATATTTTGTGGTGTAGATGTAAAAATAACCAAATATTGTCTTTGACAAATTTAACGACACACAGCATGAAGACATATAAATTCTATTGTTTAGAAGAATAAAACATGAATACTAACGATTTGTGCTTTAATCGCGTTGTAACTGTAGAGATACCTAAGCCTGTTAACCTCATTGTGGTTTTTATGCCATTTTGTGATTTTTAAAATTGTATTTATTATAGTTACCGCTGTTCTGACATCCTCACACTTCTTCAAAATATCTTTAATAGCAGGTATCGGTATAAATCCGCTTTTTCAGAAGAAAACGTAAAATAATTGTTTCTATCAGAAATATAAAAGGCTGCAATTACAAGGGAGAGTTTCAAAGTTCGGGGAATACTATCCGATCAGTATATACTGGGTTGAACGTCGATGTCGACGTCTCCCGCGCTCCGAAAACTTTCGAATTGTTGCCTGATGACAAAGGAAGACCAATCGGTATTCCTTATTTTACGTCGCTTCTTCTTGTGTTTGTTCAGTGAAGTGTTCGTTATCCGAACATGTGTTAGTTGTCCGATCATAAAAACTTTTCGCGAAAATGTTCGTTATCCGATTTGTTCGTTAAGCGATCTGTTCATTAACCGATTACCTACTGTATTACGGTGGTCTGTATCTGCGTCCACACAAAATTTCCATAAATTACACTTAATTATTCAGAATAAAGCTGTTTTTGCATAGAGTTACGCGGCATTAATCGACGTTTTAAAATACAGATAAACATCGGTGTGCCGATTGCATAGAATTCCGCAAGTTAACACTGGTTGTTAGAGCAAATAAATACAAAATATGGAAAATGGGTAATGAAACAAATATTAAAACACCCTTTCGCATATACTAAATGGCATTAGTGACTGATAAGTGTAGAAAACCATTAAGACTGAAACATTTCTCTAAGTGTAATTTTGTGTTCTATTTTTATACTCTAAATCTCTAACAGTATTTTGTAAGAGAATAAACATTTGCGGTCAGTGTTTATGACAGGACTTCGCAGCATTAGACTCCGTTGGAATTGCTCACTGGTATGAGTGGCATTTTGTGTGAACCTTTGCCTGTTTTAAAAGTGATTGACATAAACGTGCTAAATCGATTAACCTGTATCAAAGAAACGTAAAAAATTAAAATTCACATAATACTTTACATACCTTATTAAATATCGACCACTCTACTTCGTTTCAAACACGGACACACCACAGATGGTAACTTGCGAACAAAATGCAAGAAAATGTCCATGCAGTTTGTAGTTTCCTGCAAACAGTATAAAGATTATTTAAAAGTATTTCAAAAATAAAATTTTAGAATTATTTCGATTACAAAAACTATTTCATTTGATTGGATATTTAAATTAATCACGTAATTTTGTAGACTGAATTTAACGCTGTAAATATATTCAATAGTGTCGATAGATAATATAATTTTTCACAATATCGAATTGTTGGATGACTAAGAATGCTGAAATGGCCTTAAAATTCATATATATATATATATATATATATATGGTTATTTAATATTTTGAAGTGAAAATATGCCTGTAAACAATGCAGAAATGAAATTATTATATACATATCTGCATTGTTCACAGGCATATTTTCACTTCTAAATATTATGGTATAACAACTTTATCATATTCCTTTTGAAATTTAAGTTCTGTTGTTGATCTAGTGAATAATTTATATGCTGCAACTATTGAATTTATGTTTTGTTTCTTCTGATAAATCTGCTCATCTGAATATAAAGGATGCTATAAGGATTTCACAATTTCACTGTGATGGTTCCATTTTTTTCATAATGCATCGTTGGATAATCCTCATTTGTCCAACATTTGGATAATTTACTTACATATAAACTTCCACCTACAGAGTTAGTTACCTGTGATATAGAAAGGTAAAACTTGTTTCCATCGTAAAGGAATAANGTCGATAGATAATATAATTTTTCACAATATCGAATTGTTGGATGACTAAGAATGCTGAACTGTCCTCAAAATTCATATATTAAAATATAATAATTATTGTTTAATTTACCCCACTCAGTGTATATGATAATTTTTGATTTAAAATATTATATAGTTATAATAATCTGATTGAGGATACGTTTCAAAACGTCAAATATTTAGTTATGTTTTAAAATTATGTCTTTTATTTAATGCTTAGTGAAAATGTAAGATATTTTCTCCCTTATTGAAAGACAATACAAGATTTAAAGTTAGTTTAATTAATTAACAAACTCAAATATCTAACGCAATCTCAACACTGGCAATGTATAAAAATACAGTAAAAAATTCCATCGACCCTATGAAGGGATGAGTTTTTGTTTTCGCTATAGTTTCAGCGGTAGGCTCACATCCCGACACTTCAGTTGATGGCTCAATTTCGAAACCTACCGATGATGACCTATACTCTGGCACTTGCGTCGACGTCCATTCTTTGATTTTCCTGCCATTTGTTTTTTTAACACTTCTAATGCCGTGTTATATCAGGACACCTTTGGCCAAGTACAGTTTTCAAGCATTTGTACTGGCGACCCATATCTATTTATAAAGACCAAGCGTAACTGATGCACCTTCTCGTATTTTCAACTCATGTTTCTGACACCAAACATTCAACACAACAGTCAAAATCTATCTGTTCGAGAATTAAAATAAAATTTATCCACGCTTACAAAATATTTTAAACACAAGTTATCTATTAAGAACAATATTGTGAAATTCTTGATATGTTTCCAAAATAAATACTTTTAATTTATATCAAATCTTATTTTTATACAAATACACGAACTAATCTAAAACATTTTGCGATTTTTTCTCTTTAAATCGAATCTAATTGAAATATTTCCTTTCTATCTCGTTGGTCGAGACTCTAAAAAGAGAACTGCACATTAATGCAACATTAGAAAAATACACTTTGTTTAATATGTTGTATTGTGCAGGAAGAAACTAAACACTGGCAAGAGATCTCAGATACCCTCTCGTTTAAAGTGTTATTAAAAAAATTGACGTTTTCATAATACAAAATTTCAATATTGCCGAATAATTTTCAGTGTCTTTACGTATCAATTTTTGCTTTGTATTTGGCTTACATAAGAGAATATGCTGTTTCTGCTGTTTTAACTCTATATTTAGAAATTAATGTTTAGATAAAAATATTCATATTAAAACACAGGGTCAAATATCTTTTTATTTAGTTTTTTATGCGTTTTTTCAAGGTATTGTCATTCAACGGTCGTCATATTGTCATGCAGTTAAATTATTCTAAATTTTTCAATATCATACTTTCCTGTTATGAATGGAGTCGTATCGGACATCGATGAGGGGAAAAGTTTAATTAAAATAACCTCACCTGCTGTGCAGAGCGGAAATTCNTTTCAAAACGTCAAATATTTAGTTATGTTTTAAAATTATGTCTTTTATTTAATGCTTAGTGAAAATGTAAGATATTTTCTCCCTTATTGAAAGACAATACAAGATTTAAAGTTAGTTTAATTAATTAACAAACTCAAATATCTAACGCAATCTCAACACTGGCAATGTATAAAAATACAGTAAAAAATTCCATCGACCCTATGAAGGGATGAGTTTTTGTTTTCGCTATAGTTTCAGCGGTAGGCTCACATCCCGACACTTCAGTTGATGGCTCAATTTCGAAACCTACCGATGATGACCTATACTCTGGCACTTGCGTCGACGTCCATTCTTTGATTTTCCTGCCATTTGTTTTTTTAACACTTCTAATGCCGTGTTATATCAGGACACCTTTGGCCAAGTACAGTTTTCAAGCATTTGTACTGGCGACCCATATCTATTTATAAAGACCAAGCGTAACTGATGCACCTTCTCGTATTCTCAACTCATGTTTCTGACACCAAACATTCAACACAACAGTCAAAATCTATCTGTTCGAGAATTAAAATAAAATTTATCCACGCTTACAAAATATTTTAAACAAAAGTTATCTATTAAGAACAATATTGTGAAATTCTTGATATGTTTCCAAAATAAATACTTTTAATTTATATCAAATCTTATTTTTATACAAATACACGAACTAATCTAAAACATTTTGCGATTTTTTCTCTTTAAATCGAATCTAATTGAAATATTTCCTTTCTATCTCGTTGGTCGAGACTCTAAAAAGAGAACTGCACATTAATGCAACATTAGAAAAATACACTTTGTTTAATATGTTGTATTGTGCAGGAAGAAACTAAACACTGGCAAGAGATCTCAGATACCCTCTCGTTTAAAGTGTTATTAAAAAAATTGACGTTTTCATAATACAAAATTTCAATATTGCCGAATAATTTTCAGTGTCTTTACGTATCAATTTTTGCTTTGTATTTGGCTTACATAAGAGAATATGCTGTTTCTGCTGTTTTAACTCTATATTTAGAAATTAATGTTTAGATAAAAATATTCATATTAAAACACAGGGTCAAATATCTTTTTATTTAGTTTTTTATGCGTTTTTTCAAGGTATTGTCATTCAACGGTCGTCATATTGTCATGCAGTTAAATTATTCTAAATTTTTCAATATCATACTT